CACATTAGAACAAATATGATAACCACAACCGGTGTTAAGAACCCAAGAAATAGCATGATTAGAATCGTTAGATTTGATTGCATATATACCTGCGAAAGATGGCTTGATCTTTCCTTCCTTGATGGCTTGCAGGTAATCCGGGCAGCTTCTCTTCCAATGTCCTATCTTGTGGCAGTGGTGGCACTCTGCCTCCTTCGGGTTAGAGCAGGGCTTAGAGGGATCAACTTTGGTCCCACTAGAAGAGGAACCATCTCGGGATTTCACCTTTCGATAGTTATTTGAAGAAGCTTTCCTCTTCTTTCCCTTCCCTTGACCAATAGCCAAGACAGGAGCAGCGGATGGATTGGGAGTTGGTGCAACAGACTTGTCCTTGAAATTGCTCTCAGCAACCCTCAAGAGACCTTGGAGTTTACTTAGAGTGACCTCCTCTTTGTTCATGTGGTAGGTCATCCTAAATTGATTATACATCGGAGGCAAAGAGTGAAGCACCATGTCGATCGCCAAGTCTTCACCGAAGTCAACATTTAACTTGCGAAGGCGGTCGACATACCTTTGCATCTTTTGCAAGTGCACGGTAAGAGATTCTCCATGACCCATCTTAGCGGAAATCATGTTAGTGAAGATCTCGTAACGCTCTTGTCTCGCGTTTTGGTGGTACCTCTCCAACAAGTCTTGATGCATCTCGTATGGATACATGTCCTCGTAGGACTTTTGGAATTCGGAGTTCATGGTGGCGATCATGATGCAATGTACTTTCGTTGCATCTCGCTCATGAGTTTCAAAGGCGGTGATTTCGGCGGGAGTAGCAACTTCGGGGTTGATTTTCTCGAGCTTCTCATCGAGGACATACTCTTTATCCTCATAGCGAGCAATGGTGCGAATGTATCTTATCCATTCGCTAAAGTTCGTTCCATCGAAGGTGACCTTTTGGCAAAGGCTCATCAACGTGAAAGAACTAGCAGCAGCGTTGTTTGCGTTTGACATCTATAGAAAGGACAAAGATTGATTAGAATAAGAATCCCTAATTATCACCCAATAAGAAAAATTAGGGCTAGGATCCAACAATAACATTTGCATACTAGAAAAGGGATGCCGTAATCTAACATGCAAATAAATTGAAGGTAAGTGAATGACGATTCACTAATTCTCCATCACAAAACTTAAACTATTAGTCCTAAGTGTTTTCGAGAATTCCTAGGTTCGTATGAGATTCATTGAACTATTCAATGGCATGTTTAAATCTCGATATGCCCCTCTTGTTTGTGACTGGGATGCCGAGGATCACAAAGCGGGTGTGAATTACCATGCAAATTCACATGGTGCCTTCATTGTAACGATCACCTATTCGATGTGCCGGTAAACCACACACGCTCCATCGAACTATGATGAACAATGAATCACCCTTTTCCACCTTCGCTTAGAACCAATTAGTGTGCCGGTAAACCACACACGCTCCACTAACATCTTAGCAAGGTGCAAAGTGTAATTTCATGGGATTGCATCAATTCACTTTTCCTAAAGTAACTAAGATTGGGAAATTTTTAAAAAAGTTTAGTTACTTCGTATTTCTTATTATACTTTTAATGCGAGGATGAGGTTGCCCTATCCTACCCGTTCGGCTAACGACCCTCCACCAATCAAGCAAGCGGTGGGTGTGAGTGTACACCCATTAAGCGCCATTTTATAGGCCGCAACCTTATACCCACCTTATAGATCGGCTTCGTGAATGAGGCCTACTAGCGGTAAGACTAGCATTTAGTTATACATATATATATATATTATTCTAGTAATATCATATAAGTATAGGGCTGCATTTTAAACTTTTCAAAATCTAGGGTTTGAAATTTAAGTTGTCTAAATTAAAACTTTTAATCACAAATATAAATTTCAAAACTTTAGGGTAGGTTTTAAACATTTAAAACATGAAGGATCAAATAACAAATAATTCCAATTAACAATTAATATTCTAATTATCTTTATTTGATTTATCTTGATTTCTTTGAAGATAATTACCAAAATAATTAATCATTATCATATAAGGAAATTAAATATTTTATTGGATGATAAATATCTTTAATTAGATCAAGATAATAGTCATATTTATCAAAAAATCGGATTTACATTGATCTAATATGATTAAGGTAAGTTTCCATAAGATAATTATGAAAAAATCCCGAATCTGGCCCTTCCTGACGCCTGGACTCGCCGAGTGCACAAGGGGACTCGCCGAGTCAGGCCTACTCAACGAGTCCACCTTGGAACTCGCCGAGTCAGTGACTCAAAACCCAAAAAATCGAATTTTGCAGGTTTGTTTCAGTTATTCAAGCAACAATTTAAAGAAAACCAATCTAGGCTCTGATACCACTGATGGGTTTTAGCCATAAGAACTTTCCTATGTGCGCATGCAAAACCCTAATGCTTGGATCTAGGCTTTCTAATAAACATGCTTTTGAATCCAAGACTTATAATGGCTAATTAGGTTAAATAACAATATTGAAACAGATCTAGAATCATACCTTTGAATCCCTTGTTGATCTTGTTTGTCTTGGAGCTTCTAGAGTCACAATTGTCACTCCTCTAATGGCTTACAAACACCAATAGCAAGCAAGATGATTTAGGAGAGAGGAGAGGGGAGGAATTCGACCAGAGGTTCCTTGCTTAAGGTTGTGTGTCGAACTCCCTCATCCATAGGGTCTATTTATACTATTAGACTACTTAAGGGCTTCACCCTAAACCCTAATTGGATAATCTTCTCTTAAGGCTATCCAAATCCATTCCATAGATAACCCTATGGACGATTTTGAGCTATCCTAAAGCTCTTAGAATCCGTCCAAGGTGTATCCTAATGGATTTATAGTCTAAAGTCTAACTATCAAACAATTGACAGTTTATACCCTCTTATTTAATTAATCTCTTTAAGTCACCAAATTAATACCAATTAATTTATGACTTATATTAATCAAATAGCTAAATATTATTCCTTATAATATTTACTCTCTCTTAACAAATCATCCTTCAAGTTGCTATGGTGAAGGCAACCCAAAAGGACCATGCACCACCGAATATAGTTATAGCCTTAGACACTATTCCAACACAAAGTCACCTCCCAACCAACAACACTAGATCTCGATTATGTTGTCGTCGTTCCTGGCCTTGGACCAATTATACTTCTATAGGTCGACTAGGCTATCTTTTCCATTCTCAAGATCTGAAAATTACAACCTGTTTCTCTCTTTTTCTCCCTATAATCATGTAATTAAAAATCAAGAATCATAGGTACTTCTCATACCTGTTCATATCTCACCCAATTGTATTTTGATTTTACAGGTGGATATTAGCTAAAAAGACGATGTATAAGGGTCGCTTTTTTCTCCTTCACACATGTTTCAAAATAAGTATAAAGAACATGGGTTTCTAATGTTGGTGTTCTTAGTGGCGGAGATACAGATGGTAGTAGCTTATGGTGGCGTGAAAACGGTACCTTGAGATGTTGCTCAAGATTAGTTTAGGGTTTCTTCAAAAGAGACGGGAGAGATATATTAGGTTTAGAATGGGTGAGGTTTATTTTCTATTTTAGTATTAGTAAATGATTGGTAAATATTAAAGAAAATGAAAATTTTAAATAATAGGGTAAAATAATCATTTCAATTTTCATAAGGACCAAGTACAAAATGAAAATACTGAATAAGGACCATATCTACAACATTTTCAAGTTTTGAACATTAGCCACATAAAATGACAAATCACAAGTGCCATTTGGAAACTTTCTCTTATTATTAGTAAATAAATAAATGGAGTCACCTATCCCACCCACCCTACTCTTGAACTTGTTAGTGTCCCTTTTCTTATTTTCTAGATATATCAACCACAACCACCTAAATTTTTCATTAACCACCACTTAAATTTGTCATCAACCTACAGTTGTCATCCACCGCCATCACATTTGTATATCCAACCTAAAAAAGAAACCAAATTGAAATCATAATTCAAACTCAAAAATTGATCTCAAATCCAATTGTTTACAACCTGAAATTGATTTCAATCCCAATCTTTGAAAGCATGAAACAACTACTAACCTAAAATTCGATCTAAATTCAATTGTTTAGACCCTAAACTTATTGATGTATATTTTGTAGATACAGTGTTGAGGCTACCAATGCAAACAACAAAGTAGATGATGAGGGTGTCATATATGTTGGGAACCAATAGAGTGTGTGCGAGAAAACACATATGGTGAGGAGTGGTGGTGGTGGTAACTTGAGTTGTTGGTGGAGTAGAATTAATACGGGAGTTGATTGGTGGTGGGAGGAGAATGATTGGGGGAGGCGGAGAAGATGAAGCGACAAAACATTGCCAGAAGTAGTTGTGGTGGCCAATGATGGAGCAGAGATGGTGGTTGGTAACAGGGCAGATGAGGTGGGTGACCAAGGAGGTGAGGAAGTCGATCGACATGCCTAAGGGTTTGGACAGAATGAGAAGTATGATGGCTCAAGTTTCTTATTTCAGTTTTATGAAGAAAACAAATTAAAAATGGTCCTTGAATTAAAAAAGGTATTATTAAATTTTGTCCAAGGGTAAAAAAAAATATTATTTTACATTAAAATTAACAGAAAATACTAACGGTGTTAAGGGAAATGAAAATATGTGATTGATTTGCGGGGATAAATGGTGTCAAATTTCCTAACTTAGACGAAAGTGTAGAAAGATGTATGCCATGGGGACCAAAACTTAAATTTGCTCTAAAATAAAAGATAAAATTGCAAAAATGGTCCTTGTTTTTGTCAAAATTATGTAGTTTTGATCCAAAAAAAATTTGATAGTGCCTTAGTGGTCCAATTTTGAAAACATGGTGTGGTTTTGGTCCCTATGGTTGTTAATTTTGTTGTATTGGTCCATATCGTACATGAAATGACAAATATGCCCATCGATGTAAATCCAACTTCACATTCGATATGAAGGCTCTTGGCTTAAGGTTCCAACAGAAGATGAATTAACTTGAGATGATGGAGGAGATGGAGCCGCCCATGGCAAAAGAGAAGTCTGATGATAAAGAAGCCCTAGTATTCAAAATCGGAGCTCAGGCGGACTTAGAAGAAACTACGACGGTGGATAATGCTGATGGTGGCTTTAAAAGCGCGCGCGCAGGGGGGGGGGGTTGGAGAAGCTTCACCATTATTGGCCATCCGAAACCATGTTTCGAGTAGTGGTGATAAGATGTTGATGGAGGAGATCAAGAAGTTGAGGATGACGGTGGAGGGAATGATCAAAGAAGGGAACGAACAAGTGGGAGGGGGTGGATTGACGATTCTTTATTTTTTATTTCAAGTTTAAAAAAATATAAAATAAATTAATTTAAGTATTTCAGCTATTAAATAAAGTAAAAAAAAAAATACACATTATAAGGGTATAATTGTCTTTTTAAGTGTATAGAGATCAAAATCAATAAAAATATCCAATTTCAGACTATGAGTATACCACCAAAATTTTTTGAACCAAAACCACAGAATGTTGCCAACCACACACGAATCATTTTTGCAATTTTGTCAAAATAAAATATAAAAAAACTCATTATAATGGCGTAGACGCATTTCATATGTGCAATTGCTACTAGTCATATGGTTTGGTGAAATTTGGTAAATAATGCCTTATCCTTCAAGTTCATTCCTAGTTTTCCAACATGATTCTATCTACCAAGAGATCATGCCAATAGACGATGGTCCTGTGATCCAAAGTGACTTCACCGGGTAAAGTAGTCCATTGGACCATTGGCAAGCAACCAAACAATCTTAGCAGCACACACAGAAAGAGTTCAAATTACCAGTTAGAAGACAATCCGATTGTTTGATGTTAAACGTTTTAGTCATCTACATTCTTAACTGGTTAATGCTGCTTTTGAAACAAAAAGTTCCATAATATTCAGTAGGTGGGCATATGCTAGGGATATGAACCGTATATCATTAACTTAATTGTTCTTGAATTCCCTGAAAATTGCAGGAGCTTTGTAGCACACACCTCCATTATTTTACTCCTTTTTCCATGCTCAATTAACTTCTGATACAAGACCCACAATTTGATCCTAGGTGGGGACAGAGTGCACCCTAAGGCACCCCCACCCCAGTCAACCCCACGCTGTCTCTATGATTTTGGCTGGTGGGGTAAATCTAGTTGTCGTACTGAGTGCTAGAAGTTTGGCCTTTATAAACTGAGGACATAAATGCACACCAAGGCCTACAGTAAAGCATGCTGCATTTTGATCAAATATGAAGGTAGTACTTGTAGCATGCTTGTGGGTTCTTTTTTTTTATAGCGTAAATGGTCAAGAAAAGGAAGTGGTTAGCAATAACATATCTTCTGCGGATCATGGAAAGAAAGCAACAAGAAACGGAACTGTAAATAGTATTGTGATCGACAACAAAGGAAAAGATAATGGAGGAGGTGGATATGGATGGGGGTTTGGTTGGGGATGGGGTGGTGGAGGTGGTGGAGGAGGTGGCGGAGGAGGAGGCGGGGGAAAAGGAAATCGTGGTGGCGGAGGTGGTGGAGGAGGAGGAGGAGGAGGAGGTGGTGGTGGATGGTGGAGATGGGGATGCAGGAAACACCCAAGAAAGAGAAGTGGCAGCCGTAGTCGTCATCATGGTGAGCACAGAGACTTTACTCCAATCGGGGAAAACTATTACGTGACCGGGGAATTTGCAGAGTGCATGGGAGGAGGGCGGTGCAGAGGGATGAGATTGGACTGCCCTCTTCACTGCGCCGGCCCATGCTTCTACGACTGCACATATATGTGTATACCTCACTGCCGCAATCGCCGCCACCACCGGTAACCTACTCCGGCAGTTCCTGTTATGTTTTTTTCTTCGGTTTTCTTCATGTTTGTGTCAGATTCCCCACTGGATTACAAATGTAGTTGATTTTCTTGTTCCATTATTCTTGGATTTCATGATTAGGGTTTTTTCGTAGTGCGGTTATTTTGGTTTGTGGCGAGCACCACTTTTATAGTGGTTTTAGACTTTTAGTTAATTTAGATCTCATTCATTTGACCATGTTGGTGTAAAGTGTAATGGTATCGTCTTTTGATCAATTGAGTTTTCGAAAACTTAGCTTATTGTCTGAAATTAATATGAATTAATGAACAGGGATTTGATTAAAACCAAATGGTCGGATATATGAATTTTATTATGGAGTAATGATTTAAAATGGTAACGTATGGGATAATGATTTAAAATGGTAATATATTTTTAGATTTATACATATTTGTTTTTTGAATTTTTTTCGTTTATATTTTTCCAATTCAACTTGTTTAACAGTACATATTCGATCCTTATAACCGCTACTCCATGTAACTCGGAAAAAATTAAACAAAAGAACATGACCTTTTTTTTATTAAAGATATAACGACTTAAAAAGGTTATATATTTTTTGATTTTTACATATTTGGTCATTGATTTTTTTTGTTGTCTATATTTGCCCTTCCAAATTGTTTGATTGTACACATTCAGTTTTTATGACCGTACTACTAGAAAACAACCTTTAAGAACACGCAAACCATCACATGCACGTGTTTACGATACGCAAAAATGTGTGTCCTAAAAATAATGTCATCTCTCCTAAAATTTGAAGATTCGGGACCTGCATTTTTGCGTGCCTTAAAATTATTGTCACATAAATAAAACTAAAAACACGGAAGGCGCCTATAATAAAATGTGTACCGTGAAAACCTGTTGTTTTATATTTTTCAAAAGCGTATCTAAGTTCTAACTATTAATTCTTATAACAAAATTGCGGCACCTCTTATTTTGCTCATTCGTCTCTCTCAAAAACCCTAGTTTACCATTGTTCTTTGCTCGTCGGCGATCTCATCTAAAACCTCGTTCTTATGATCACTAACTATCATCTTTCTCATGGCGTCACGAGATCTGGACATTGAAGAAGGAGGCGGAGGCGGCAACCTCAAGAACAATGGCAGAACCCTTATTAGTAGCTATAGCAGGAAAAGGAAAAGAAAATCCCAAAAAATTAGAAAACAATTTAGGCGGGTTCATTTCATCTCCCTCTCCCATTCGTCTCCACTCTCTGCCATATATGTCAATCAGCCGTAGTTATTGTCGGCTGCTACAAAACCACTATGACCATCTCTTTCATCACCCACCACATTCAAAATCGATGAAACCTTACCGTCTTCTACTTCCAACGCGTCAAATGGGATGCATTTATGAAAAGATAAAAGTGGCAAACAAATAAGCCCAATTACGATTTGTCAAATCAGAAAAGAAGTAAAGAATCCCAACTTCCTCCGGAATTAGGTACTTCTTTCTTTACCCTTCTTCATAAAATGATTATGTATTCTTTCTTTACCCTTCTACATTTCTTTATCATATTTCTTTTCACAAATTGGTCTTTTTAAATGGAATCAGAGAGGTTGCTAAGAAAGGAATTGACTAGAATGATGCTAACAATTGGGTTGTAGAGGTTCAAAACATGCTTAAGAAACGTGCACATAAAGTGTTTGTAGAAATGCCAAAGAGAAAAAAAGGTGGTGAAACTATTAAAACTATGGTGACAACATTGAAGCTAAGAGGTTCTTCACCAAATTCCTCCAGAATAAGGTACTCCATGAAATTAGTATCAATCCAAATGTATCTGTTCTTTTTACACATGTTTCTATCTTATGAGGAGTTTAATTTATTCATTTACTTCAAGAGTTTGTCATATTTGTATAGTTGGAAGCAAGCATTGAGTATAATTGTAGGCATGAAGGTCCAGGGCAATTATGATATTTAACACAATTTGGGATGAATCTCAAAGCTTCTCTACAATGTCAAAGCTACTAGACTATATTTATTGGTGGCTACATTGCAAGCCATCAACTAACTTTGATTAGTAAAATGATTTTTCTCTTTTATTAGTTGGTTATTCCTTGAGTTGTATTAATATATATATATATATATATATATATATATATATATATATATATATATATATATATATTTGAATGCATTGCAAATGGTTAAGATGTTGGATATTCTAGCGAAATACTTATCAATTAGGGGTTTCAAGTATCAGAGAATTGATGGAAGTACAAAGGCTGAGGTGAGGCATCAAACTATGGAGTATTTTAATGCAGCTGGAAGTGATGATTTATGCTTCCTTCTTTCTACTCGTGCTAGTGGTTTAGGTATCAACCTTGCAATAGCCTTGAATCCTCAAAATGATCTCCAGGTTTGGATCTATATGCTTCTTTTTACTTATTTCAAACATTTTCTCTTCCTTCTTATTACTCTTTTTTGAAAGTTTTCTGCAACTATATGTTATGTTTCTTTTTACTCATGTTATGTATATGCTTCTTTTTAATCATGTTGAAGTTTTTCTCCTATCTATATATGCTTCTTGTTAATCATTTTGAATATTTCCCTTACCTTATTAATCTTGTGCCTTTAGGCAATGAGCAGAGATGATGTCAAAAACCAGTTGTGGTTATAACCTCATCAGGCACTAAAGTTTCAAATCTTTTACCTATTGTAAGTCTATAAAAAAAATATTTTTTTACCCTTTTCCATTATTTATAAAAAAGTGGATAATTTACTCTATTACAGGTAGTGGAAGCTTCTCAAGATTTTTTACCTCTTCTATTACTCACAGCAGATTGCCTCCCTGAGCTTCTGGATGCTGGAGCCAACCAAGAAATTAATCAAGTATGTTAATTAATAACTAATGATTATTATTTATTAGTTTTGTTTCTAAGTATTCATTTTTAAACATTTCTTTTCTAGGTTAACATATTTGGGTCATTTGTGAGGAAATGTTTCAATCTTCCTGTACCAACAAATGAAATTTCTACAAGAATGGTTCTAACAACTTTTGACTCTGCTGTAAATCATGCCACGTCATCACCTTGTAGACTTGTACATATCAATTTTCCTTTCAAGGAACCTCTATAAAACACACCAAAAGAATGGAGTCAAAGTTGTTTAAAAGGATTAGAGTTGTGGGTATCAAGTAGTCAACCATTTACAAACTATTTCCATCCTCACAATTCTTTCACACATGGTGATGTAGCAGATGTGTTAAGTATAACAAAAGGTGCAAAACATGGGATACTGCTAATTGGTGTGATTTTAAAGAGGATGATATATGGGCATATTTATTATTAGCTAAACACCTTAAATGGATAGTTTTTGCTAATATTTTATTAGGTTTAAGGTTGAGAAAATATAAAAATTCTCTTTTGAAACTCAGCGAAGGTATTCTTTTTGTTGATCATTTGGATCATTTGCTACTTTCTCCTGAAGTCAAAAATCGGATAAATCCAGATGCTATTCTTCAAGTATAGTTAGAGAAAACATATTGGTCAGGTTAACTTAATTTGTTTGACTTTTTGATGGATTTAATATTTATATATTTTGAATATAGATTGGAAGCCGAATAACAAGCAAACGCACTTCACAGATGATACAATATTCTTCTCCATGTCAATATATATTAGTAGATAACCATCCAAATCAACTTGACCCTCACATGTAATTACACATACGATTCAAGGTCATATCCGTCATTTTACCAATTGTGTGATGAGATCTTGCACAACCAAAATCAATAGCCAATGGACAAATTTCTTGTGTTCAGTAAACATGATGGTAAACTATAAACTGTAAACAGTTATTGTTGGATTAGGTGTCTAAGCCCATAACTATAATTGATATGTACTTGACCCGATAGTAGCATGGTCCATTTGGGTTGCATTCATCAAAGCAATTTGTTAGGAAGGATATTTGAAGAAGAGGTTATTTATGATTCATTAATATATTATAAGTATAATATATTATTTGGAATCATATTATTCAATTAGTATTGATCAAGAATTAATTTATAATTAATTTAGTGATCAAAAGAAATTAATTAAATTAACATATATATATATATATATATATATATATATATATATATATATATATATATATAAGTTGGGCTAATGATACATGGTTTGGTTTGTGATAGGCTTATTGATTAATCCATGGAGCATTTATCCAACTCAAATGGATGGCTTATGGGCCAATGTGTATGGATTAGGGTTATACATGACCCTTTGATATCCTACACACACAAACACACACACACACACACATATATATATATATATATATATATATATATATATACACATATATACATATATATATATATATATATATTGTGTCAAGCCTAAAAACGACTAGTACATGAATTCCAAGAAGAAATCGGTTTTTAGGAGTGTCCATAACCTCTCCATATTAAACCTAAATTGTTCTTGGTGTTTTGTGATTCAATTTGAGGCATTCATATTATTGGTGCTAAGCTTTCTTGAGGCCAAGTCATTCAAGCTACTACACAAGGTAATATTCTAACTAGTTTTTATGATTCAAATATCACCTTGCATGCTAGTTTGAGATTCATGATTTGGAAAATGTTTATTGCATGTATAATTAGAGAAAAATAAGATCCAAAGTATTACAGTTGTATGTGCACCATAGGAATGTTATAGTACATAAAACCCAACAGTGGTATCAGAGCCTAGGATGTTTTCTATTGTATTGATTCAACTGTGTAATTTTCAAAGCTGAAAAAAACTGCAAAACTGGATTCTACCAAGGCATACTCGATGAGTCCATATATGAACTCGACGAGTAGGTGCCTTATGATGATGAACTCGTTGAGTTCATAAGTGCACTCGACGAGTTGGACTGTCTGTGAACAGAATTTCTGAGTTTGTGGCCTATTTTGTATTAGGAACATTACCACAAACTATTTTGATTCATAAAATTTGATTTTAATGACATGGTTATCTTAA